AGAGAGTCTTACAGGAGATGAGGAAAAGAGGGAGCAGGGAAGGAATGGTATTTCAGGCCCTTTTACAACTCTCACAAGTATGCAATTGCCATCTGGAAGGCAAGGTATGACTATATACATTTACTACTACTACAATTTTAGCTGTAGAATAGAGCTTCAGAAGAGGAGACCTAAAGTGATGTCTGTTTAGTTTTCTCCATTCTAGGGTCAAAGGGCCTCTACGGAAAGATAACCAAGAACTAAGGGGAGGAAAAACTGAAACACTTTTAATGATATTTTTCTGCTGTGAAAGCTGTATATCAGAAAAACCTTCTCACTTTAAGAACTTACCTTCTATTCCTTGTAAAAGGGCAACTCAGCACAATTGAAACAATTCAGAGATTTTTAAGCTTTCAGTATTTTTCTAATTAATACTATCACCAAAAGTAAAAAAAGAAAATATGTTAAAAAGGAAGGTCTCCAAAAACCTGAAACTCCACTAATTGCATTTGTTTACTTAAATTATTGCTGTTGAGAGGGAAAGCAGAGAAGGGAACTTTTCAGTTATCACCAAAGAACTTAATGAAAAAAACCCTCTCTCTTCAAAGGACATTGGCATTTTCCTTACGATGAGCTTTAGCACTTTTCCCACTGCCATATGTAACAGCACCTGAAAAAACCATAGCTGCCCAACTACACTGAGTGCTTCAGATTCCACTCCAGCTCTCTGCTGTGGTGTCACATGTTCCATGAGTCTGCACAGTTCACCAGCAAGGACCAAATCTGAAAGACTTCAGGAGAGCATCTCGGGAAGCTTTCAGCTCCTGCTGAAATAATACTGTCCTACCCCTCCATCACCCACCACATGCTCCTATCCCACTGCATCAGCCCTGCTCTCTGCCTGAGAAAGTTCCAGTGCATGTTAGATCCCACAATGAGCAATCAGATTGTGGCAGCAGCATATCTGCACACATTTTTACTATCATCCAGTATGAATTAATAATAGTCATAAAACTTCTGTTGCAACAATTAACTATTGTCCCTGAAGCACTGCAATTTCAAAATATCCCAATCAACACACAATAACTTTCCATTCCTCATCTTCTATACACACAAGTGCCAAGGCTTTAATTTCCTTCAAGAAGGAATTATCAAGCTGTATGACTCATTCTGTGCATATATAAATATACATCTAATTATAACAAGAATTTAGCCTGACCTGTCTCTTAGAAAATAAGATAAACCTGTTTAACTGAGTTCAACAAACAATTCAAGATCTGAAAGAAGGTATTAAGTGGCTTTTATATGCTAAACTTTATGCTGCTACGTTATCTGCTTCAGTATATTAGCACAGGCCTATAAAACCTACAACACACAAATTTGTTTATCTTCCATCTAAAATGGATGTTTGCTCATGCAGCCATCCCATGGTAGATGTGTATGGGATAAAATCATACCCAGTTGCTATTGAGCCATGGCTGTTCCCCCTGGCTCAGGCTCCATGTCCCCTGAGCACACCCTGTCTGTCTGCTTGCCTGGCAGCAGCGCTGAGCTGGCCTCTGAACGCTCTGCAGCAGCCCATGCTGACACCAGAGACTCTGCTACTCTGCAAGTTTCTCCAAACTTATGATACTGCTGTGTGCCAGGAAATGGAAGTGAAGAGAGTTGTCAGATTAGGAAAGTGGCTGGAAAACACAGAGAGGCTTGAGGGAAAGGCTGAATTGAGTTTGGAGAGGCATGTGCGTACAGCAGGAAGCACTGCAGATTCCTGTAGCTAAAGAAACAAACCAGCAGCTTCAGATTAAAGCTGAATGCTGAGAAAGGAATACCCACTTTCTGGTTGTAGAAAAAAACAAGCGTGGTGAATCTGTGCTCATGAGCTGAACATTAGTGAAGCAGTCTAATGCCTGCCAGCTCATTTGGGTGATACACCCATTAAAGAATTTACTTTGCTTTCTTGAAATGTTTCTTAACTGGGTGCTTGCAGGGATAGAGGTCCTTGGCAGCCTAAGCTGTTCTGTCAATCTAAGGATATTTAATTACTTTAGAAGAGGCATATACCATAGATTCTGGCCTGAGAACTTAAAAAAAATTGGATTATCAAAACTGATAAGACTGTGGATTCAGAACAAGGCCAAAATCCTAGTGTGGTCTATAATTAAACAATTCCATTCTTATTTTGAAAAAAAAAAACAAAACAAACAGAAACTGACTCTTGCTCAAGAGTTTTAAAAACAAAAGTCACTTGAGAGAGGAAAACTAAATCAACACAAAATGCTGCCAAAAGGGAAAATCCCAAGGCATAAATAGGATCAACACCTTCCTCAGGCAAAAAACCTGCTCTGCATGATCCACTCCTGTATTTAAGCCTCCTGTGTCTGTAAACATGCAATAAATCTGTAATGCTTCAAACTCTGCCTTCCGATAACAAAGTGCTGTATATTCCTAATGTAGCCCCTTAACAGGCTTACAAAATCCTCAGTGCTCTTCTAACACCATTTGAGGTTGCCCTGCCTGTTAATGGCACAAGTTGTCTAAAACCAGTCACCAAACATTTGGCACAAGTTCTCATCTTCTTCTGTTATGGAAACATATACATATAGATAAAATAAACATGATTTCCCATCATGCTGCCCTCAGACATAAGCTCTAAGTGATGCTGTATCCCTCATACATAGACATATCATCAACTATACTCTCAAAACACAAGAAGGGATAATTAAACTCATTACAGAACAGGTCCAGCACGGCAAGCACAAGAGGATTCTCCCAGCAGTGACTCAGACACCTATTGACCAATGGGCCTCTGAATCAACAGTTTCATCTCCAAAGAACTGAAACCCTGGCAGAAGTTCTGAGCACTTGTAGTACCAGGCTGGTGTCAATTATGCTGAGCACTAGGAGCAAGGAGACCACCTTTGTGGACCACAAGCTGAAAAAAGCCATGAGGCAGTGGCCAATTTGTTTATCCTCCTGGGCTATATTTGATCTAGTGATTCACCCTGTCTTACTAATAACTCCTTCAACTCGTCATTTCAGCCCCCTTCTCCAACCTCCAGAAGTCTTCAGAATTCAACTATTATTCTACACACACTTGAGGAAAAATGCTACTACTGTTGCCAGAAAATGCAATTGCACCACTTGGAACATATACAGTTTTTAACTTTTAAAAGCTCTCTAAAATCAAAGAATAGCTATTTTACTGGGCAAAATTGTGTGTGGATTCCCTACAACAGCCATTTCTGTCATGGATTTTCCTATTGAAGGCATTAAATGCTCACCTTTGTCCACAGAAGAAAAACAGTAATCACTAATTATGCTTTTATAATGTCACTAAAGCTATTCTGTTTCTCAAAAGGTTGCAGTAAACTTCTTCAGTCTATTTCTTTTTTGGTCTCAAGATGCTTTAGGAATCTCTTCTGTTATTCTGAATTATGACTATAAAAAGTTATTCTTTGAAGTCTTTCTTAGATTTATTTGCTTGCCAAGAACTCAAAAATAGCTGAACAAAGCAGCAGCTACAAAGTTAGCTCACTATGAGGAAGCATATGTGCTGTTTTCATTTTCTTGGCTTTTTGGGTGGGGAGGGTTATTTAAATGGTAAACAACTGCTGTGAAGGAAGGGAAAAAAATAACCAAGCAAAAAAACCCACACTGAGCAAAATCTTCCAAGTTTTAGTACAATGAAACAATATGACGCTCCACCTCATCTACGATAATATTTAGTGAGTGGAATGGCCCAAAACCTCCCTGTTTTAATTTACCAGATATCCAAAAGAAATCAACAATAATATTAGCAAAGCCTGCCTGAATAATTTGATCAGCCGTCTTAGGAATGTTTCCTCTACTGAGCACAGGGAGGAGGAAAAAACCCAGAAAGAATAAATCAAATAAACTGTCCCTCTCATGGCAAATTGCTCACACTCATGCTGTGTCTTGAAATTTCTGGAACAATCTTTACCTTTGCCCCTCTCGAAATACAGACATTGAACCAGAGTGCATCACTCCAATAGCAGCTAGAATGAGAACTGCAAAATTGTCACCCCAGAAGGTGAAGAAATTCATTGCCCACATATGTGCATCTTTGCCTCAGAGTGGCATCTGTAAGTTACAGAAAGTGATGGCGACACATATCCTGCTAATTGGCATCCAGCTCCTCAGTCTCCTCATTTTACAGCAGTTCTTGGCAAGCACACCAATACCAGGAACCTGCTTAAATTGCTAATTAATAACAGACTTGTCTTTGGAAGGGTGGGAAAGGGGTAATCTTTTAATTGAGCAGTTCCTACAAAACAGAAGTAAATAAGAAACATTAACTTTACAAACCAAGAGTTTCCTTTCAGCCTGTACTCAGACTAATACAACAGGCAAAGCATTTTATTGATTTTGACTCAAAACAGGCAGCACTATTCCTAACAAGAGAATACTCTCTTCTTGTTTTTCCTGAGCAGTACAGGGGGATTAAACAAACAACCAATAAAGCTGGGTGGGAACTCCTATGAATGGAACTTCAGCTTCATATTTGATACCCAGATCTTGACCAGGGTACATGGACAACGGAATAATTCCTTTTTATGGGACCCAGATTAAGCTGTAATGTGAAAGTAATAGGGAGTGAATACAATTAAATGATCCAGCTGAAACGTTATTGATTCACTTGTGAAAAGTACAACTGGAGTATAAATAAGACTTAAATACAATGCAGTGTCACTGAAACAATATTTATGAGTAGCTCAATGGTAATGCACATCTCTCATTTAGAACATTATTAGTGAAGTTTTATGTTCTTACTATGATTTTTTTTCACCCCAATAAGTGCTTCTGAGGAGAAAAGACATACAAGGCTGTGAGTGGAGTTCTAAGGACTGATTCTGCAGTCTTCCCTTAACATAGCAAACAGTGAGTGATTAACTCACCAGTCACCATAGAAGAAACTTCACTGAAGGTGATTGGCAACTGCAGAATCTGTCCTGAGAATTGAATATTTCATATTCAGTATGTATATTATGAAATAGTCTTACCTCTGTAAGAGCGTGCAGCTGTCCTTTATGCACACAGACACCCATAAACCTACAAGAAACAAGAAAAGAAAAGTGGTTTGGGCTTTTTTCCCCCCCTCTTTTTTGTTCTTTAAAAAAACTAATATAGGATACACCAAAAAAGAAGAAAAAAAATCAGCCTCACAGACACTGCATACCTCACCATTGATTATTTAAACATCTCAGCACAAAAAATCATCTACACTACAATATAATCTGAATTAGCAGTTCCAAGAGAGCACAGGAGACAGCTCAACCTCAAAATGGAAAGTTACTAATTTAACTATAAGCAGAGGCCAACATATAATGATTTATGCAGAAAGGAACAGTCTCAGAGTCCTATTTTAAGGATGTTTAAGCCAAGTAATCCACTGTTGGTCTGCACAAACACAAAATTACTTCCCTTTGCATTTTGCTGTTTAAGCATAAAGATGTTTCTTCATATCCCATTCTTAACCACTCAGGAATATGAGGGCACATACGCAGCGTATACTTCCCCTCCCCAAACTCCTCTTTCCAACACTTGGATATAAGCAAGTTTCAATAGTATCCAGAATACACACATTCCTCAAGTGCTATCTATACTGCACAATTTTCAGACTCCTGCTGTTAATAGTAATGATTGCCACCCTCAGTTTGTCTGGAGAGCAACAGAATGTGCCATAAACAACCGAAAGCTCATTTTTACTACCATACAAGCTGAACTTCAAAGTGACAAAATGCAAATTAATGCTACTAGTAAACACCTCCCATGAGAAAGTTCAGTAAAGCTGAAATTTTAAACACTAGAGTTGTCCCTGCACAGTTCAAGTGTTTGTTCTTTATTGATTAACTAATTCTCAGTTTTAACATTTAGAGTTTGGTCTCAGCAAGCAAAAAACAAATTGTCTATAATTTCCATAACATTCAGAAATTTCCATTTTGCAAGTAAGAGGTAGACATGTATGATCTCATTAAATGTGATAGGAATCTTGTGGACAACAACTCAAAGGAAAAGGATCTTTTCTATCCTGAAACACTTCTGAATTTAAACACAAAATGATGCAAGACATGTAGTGCTAGTTCAGCTAAGCTGCTTTTGAAGAAATGAATGATCCTCACTGTTCTCTTGTCTAACAGCTGACTGGTAAATTACAAGCAGCCAAAGAAAAATAATATAGATAAGGTCCTTTGCATAATCTGAGCTATGGAAATCTGTTTTTAAAACCAAAGTAGCAGCAAGACTTTAATTAGAACTTCTACTGCCTGCTCTCACCTCAAACACTCAAACAATATTCCCTGAATATAGGAATTTTAATTTGAGAGACATTGAAAATCCAATTCCTCTTGTTTAATGTAGAATCATAGGGCATGATCAGGTCCTCAGGGGAAAGGGAAGAGGCTTCTTTTTGATATAGCAGGTAGGCAAAGCATTTCTCATTCTGGGTTTCACTTCATACTGCAATGAACATATGAACAATTTTGTAAAGAAATCGACAAATTAAACTTCCTGAGGTGAAGAAACCCAGACTTCTACTCTAGATTCTGCTAAAAACCCAACCTTCTGCTCTAGATTTCTAGAACAGAAATTTATTTCTTAGTGCATTCTGAAAGTCTTCAGAGCTATCAGGCCTGGTGTTAATGAATTTATTCACAAGCAAAAATGGAAAGTACACAATTCCAATATATTAATTTTTCTATAAGACAACTTTCCAAATTAATATCTAGTCTATCAATTACACAAAATTAACCTGCTATGGCAATATTTTCATTCAACAAAAAGGGAGATCAAACAATTAAAAATAATTAAGTTTTCATCTGTTTTGGTCAAGGGAAGTCTCAATGGACACATATTCATTACCTTTGTGAATCTATGCTTAAGGCAGCAAAGACACATTGAATCAAGTTACCAAGAGTAAGAGTTTAAAAATTCTGACATGCTTAGTATTTCTTCTAAGAATCAAAAAACAAAGCTCCATATCATGATCTCATGGAAAAGAAGCTGGACATAAAGACACATTTATGAACCCCACATATTTAGAAACTATTACCCAGGAAAAGAGAAACCAAATACACTGATAAAGACAGAATTAATGAGTTTACAAGCAACATACTGAAGCCATTTAAACTTTGTGTGAATGAATCTCAGTTTTCAGGCTCTGGAAAATAGATTGATAAAACAGACCTCAAGCAATCCAAATTCCTGGAAAACTTCTGCTTAGCTGTTTTATCAAGCAATAATAAACCACTTGGTTAAGCCAAGAACTGCTACAAGACATTGTTGGAAAGGATTTTCACTAAAAGATAATACACCCAGCTGCTACTGGGAAATGCAATTAGCAAGCAAGATTTAACATGGTTTCAATTTCTGAGATTGCCCCAGATGAGATTCCGAGCTCTGTGGATAGGAAGCTGACATGCTGGTCCAGCACAGCTGAGATTATTCCTGTTGGCTAGACACACTGTCCCCCGAGCCAAAATGTGCTTGTAGGTGAACTTCAGCAGAAAGACTTGTCAGCCAAAGGTTACACTTCCTATAAGCATTTCTAGCTGGAAGGAGCTCCAATAGACCAATCATCCACAAAACAGGAGATCATCTGCAGATTTAAGGAAGTTTATTTTCAAGACAGTGTATCTGGCCTTATCAGCAGGCTGAAACACTTCCAAAATCTGGTTGGAAAAGTTTTCCTAGAAGCTGCAAATAGAAAGGATGATATTTAAGTCCACCCAACTAAACAGAATGAAGCACATTTCCACTACCAAATGCTTTCTGACAAATGTCAGCAAGCTATACACATGTTGGAAATCTCATTTTATAAACAAGCAATCTGGAAAACCTGTCCTCCTTAACAAAACCAAGAGAAGTCTGGATATTGCTTAGTCCTTCACAGTGGTTACACAAAGTACTTTCAGTTCAGTCAGATGGCAAGGGGGAAAATCCTGGACAGAAAAGGGCAGACTAAATACTGTAGCTTCAGTCTGAAATCTTTGCCTTAATTTATCAAGCAAAACTAATATCCAGATCATACAGCCTCTGGATATCCAGACACTGAACACATGCTTCCAGTTAAAAGAACTTCACTGGGACACATTCCTGCTCTGTGGATAAACATGGGGCAGCTACAGTTCAACAAAAGAAATTGATGACCTCAAAAAATTATGGCTTGTATGAGAAAATTCAGCACTTTAATAACATTAAACAAAAGAAACAAACCAAACACACCAATGCAAAAGCCTCTAGTACAAGCTCAGTAACCGAGACAAAAGTTCAGAATACGCATTCTTTTTTCATTGCACTGACTTGGAGAAGGAAGAGGGCAAATAAAAATATTAAGTCTTCATTAAGGCAACAAAGGCCCTCCTTAATGGTTTAGGCACCATGCTAGATTAAAAACGTATTTTAAGTTTTCTACACTTGCATCTTGATTCTAGAAGAGGTAAGGCATTTAATCTAGAATTTCTGTAACATATACAGCCTCTCTTCTACTGCGTGTACACTGTATTTCTAAAATACTCCTTTTTGATAACCATGACACACAAAGAGAAGAAAAAGCTATTTTCTTTCCTGTTCAGTACAGGATAAAGGATGTTAAAAGACAAAATCCATCCTTCTGGCTATTGTAACAAAGTCCATCACAAGCAATTTTACGAAAAGGAAGGTTTGAAAGGATAAAACTACACACAAAAAAATTCCTTGGTATTGTGTTCCCAGGGCGATAGATTTGTCTCAAAGGGGATGAAATAAAATTCTCCTTGAAAGGAGTTCATGGAATATGCACACAGTGTGCTTATTTGTGTGCTGCACACACAAGAAGGTGGATTTAATCAATGAGTCAATCTGCCTGCATGCTCACAGCCAAACATGCAGCAATACCTCCAAGCACTCCCACGAGAACACTTAAGATATGAGGTAAGACTTTCTGTGTACAGAATGTTTTAAATTAAGTCCCCAAGGTACAGATCAAATAAAGAAATACTTTTTCATGCAAACAATAGTGATATTAAAGACTGAAATTCTACCTCAAAATTGAAGATACACAAATTTAAGAGACAGCACAAGAGATGGAGAATCATTGGTAGCACACCACTTCATTTGTATGAGGAAAAACACATCTGTAAGATATTACCAAAACAAAACAAAACAAAACAAAAAAAAAAAAAAAAAAAAAAAAAAAAAAAAGCTATCAGGTCTCTCAGGCAGTTGACTGAAGGCCCCCAAGTTCAGGACACAAGGATGGAGATTTCCTGAGTCCTTTCCAGACCAATTTTCTTATTTTGAGTAAAAACTCATGACTACAGCAGCACATCAGCATTCAGGAAAGTAACAAAATGGTAGAGCACATCTACAAGCTTACACTAGACCTTTCAAAACCATGGTACTTGATCTAACCCAACCTTTGAACAGCACTGCACTTTAAGCAGGACACAAGCTAATAAAGAAGTGGAGAAATGCTCCAAATCCCTGTTTTCCCTAACACTAGCAATTACAGTTTTCCCATGTATCAGCTAACCTGTATTAAAGTGGTTATAGTAAACATCACATGGTACAAACCCCAACCTCAGCTCACTTTTCCACACCTCCTCTCACCATCTGTCTGAGGGAAGATGTGATAAAACCAGCACATCCCACAGCCAAGGCAGGAAGAAATGGAGATCAGAGGAAGAAAAGCATTTTAATTCTCCATGTTCATCTTGTATGCCAGAGTGAGATCGAGACAGGAGATGAGGTTGATGGTAGAAACAGAAGAAATCACTCTTTGAACCCCATTTGTCTGCTGTACACTCCTAAAATGTCCCCAACCTGGACCCTGGAGAACTACCAGCAAACGAAAAAGATAAACAGGTCTCATACATAGTTTGTTATAAACACCAGACAGTGACTGAATTAAAAGTTACTACATTGTAGTTAGCACCTACTCTGCCTCTAGAATCACATCTGCTAGCTGAAATAGGAAACAAGAGGAAGGGAGAAAAACAAACCTCCCAAATCCCCTATTTATTACCATCATGCCTGTAGCTGCAAGAGCTGGAGTCTTCTACTCTAAAATATCCTTAACAGACTGAAGTTGTTCATTTTTTTTGCCAAAATAAATCCTCTAATAGAGGGCAGCCTCTCATTTTCTTCATGGAAAATACATTAGAAGCTTACATATACACATATATTTGACCACTGGAATCTTTATGATCCTACCACGGGGACGGTAGACTTACTGGGGACTTGGTAAGTGAAAACTAAGCTCTTCACTTACTTCTCTTTTCTAATCAAGATGGATCTATATAGCTGGCCAAGAGCAGAATTTGAGTGCAGAAATACTGAATGAGTGTGGAGATTTAACGCTAGCCTTTTACTCCATGGCAAATAAAGCCTGTTGCTTTTAAAGCCTAAATACCCAGATCAGCGCTTCTCCAAATAAACCTGAAACTCACCAAGAGAAACAAAAACACCTTGACCCAATTCCATCTCCTCAAGATGTGCAAAAGTATCATTAAGGTAAAAACACAGACGCACCTTTAGGTAATCTCTACTGAGCGAAGGAATAAAAGGAAGTCAGCAACTGCTGACAAACTCACAATCCAGAAGAGTGACCAGAGTCTGGATAAAAACCTCAAAAGGCATCTGTAACTCTAAAAAGGAGTTGATATGGACAGCACAGAAGCAAAAGCACTTTCAAAGAGTCAGCAATATTACTAGTGACATCAGTGCAATCAACAGCAAAAATACCAAAATCTTCACAATAACATCTTGAAGTTAACTGTGGACACATTGGAATTTAGAGCTTGTAAAAAGCTGCTATATATTTTAGAGCACAGGCAAAGGGATGTTTTTTTTCATTACCCAAAGGATAACGATGATCCTGGGCTACCAAATGCACTACAAGGAAGAAGAAACAGAGTTCACTGTGTCTCCAAAACTTTTCAAAAAGAGGCTGAGATCAGAAATCAATCCCAGGTGTGCAACAGCAGCTTAGGAGAACTGGTCATTTGATGCACTGTCATCACATCTTTAAATTTCATAATGTTATGGCTTCAACCAATTATGTTAATTGCTTGTCACATCACCATAGAAGGGAAACCAAGACTAAAGTGGTTCAAGAAATAAGAAGATACGCATTGGAACATTCTGGATTTGCACGCAGTAATCTAATGCAAAGCAAAAATACCCTTTTCCTTCCAGGAGCATATAAATTAGATTAGTTCAACTCTAGCTTCTTTTCTTCAGTCCTTCTTATCCCGCCTTGCAATACTGCAATAAGAAAACCCTAAAAACTAAGAAGCAGACCTAAGAATAAGAAACAGCTATGGCATTTTGCATTGTTTAATTTTAAAATTAGTAACCATAAGTTAGTTGAATGGTGTTAAACTTGCAATAACTTAAATTCACAAAAAGAAGCCAAACTTCACTCTTCATATCACTTTATTGATTCATCAGAAATTTAAAACGGGAGCATTTGTTTTTTGCTGACCTAAGTTACTCATTACTGGCAACTCCAGATACCAAAATTTTGTCCATATCTGGGTTCTTTTCTCTTAATTCTTTTCATCTTCCCATTCGTCTATTAAATTAGCTATTCATCCTAACACATTCAGAACAGATAAACCTACAACAACAACAAAAAAAGCTAAATTAAACTTGGAAAGAAGAGAGCCCTACTAAAGACAACCTATCTCTATATGACTCAGAAAAAAGCCAGTGTACCTTAAGATGTTTGGATGTGAGAGTCTATTCATAAGCTGAACCTCTTTCAGCATGTTTGCTCTGTTGCTGTTCAGTGTGTTCATCTTCAAAGCCATTACTTGGTCTGAAGTTCTGTGCCTTACCTATTGGATAGAAGCAAAAAATGGTAAGAATATGAAACGAGACTGAAGAAACAGTATTGTTTTAGTGCAATGTAGAAATCCTTCATGACAAAAGTGATCCATACACCAATTTCTGCATCTTTATCATAGACATGACTTTCTATAAGCATACTATGCAAATGTGAAATGGCATTTTGCTCTTCTCTTGCAACTCATGACAGAAAGCTTGAGAAGTTGAAAAAAACCCAACTATCAGCTTCTTAGTACAAGTGAAGAAGCCATCTGTTTTGTACACAAAGAAAAAGCTTCTCACTGAAGACCTATGAAACTTATTTTGATTCCACCCATATCCTTTTTTCCCCCTGCAGTGGTTGCTGTCATTGTTCACAGAACGTGTTATACAAGACCTGTTGCTTACAGCTACAGGGCAGATTTTGGAGATGCTCATTGTTTACTTCTGAAAATAGACTATGACCCAGCTTCCACATCCAGGAGACTGAAAGCATTCCTACCAACCCCTGCTGCAAAGCAGAGAGGTTCCTGCACAGGAGAACACCTCACCCACGGTGTCAGTAGTGGCTGTACAGCGTCAGGAGGAAAAAAGATTTCTCTGGCAACCAGCACCTCGTTCAGCATGACTTTGCCCAGCCAGGAATGCAGGGCTGTGGCCATTTCTAACTTGGTACTCAAACTAGCCCGTCTGTCAAATGTTATGTAGATGTGTGCTACTATTAGAAAGGAGCTGTCACAATAGTGAAAGGCTTGCCAAGCCTTTGAATTTCCTTGCAGTTGGACATTCCCACACAAATACTGGTAGCATTCATGGAAATTACGTTCCCATTTTCTTCATACATCAGTACCTGCAGCTCGTAAATAGAAAACATGCATTTCTCAAAACCCTGAATTAACCCCATGGCAAATTCATTCATGTTTATGGAGATTAGCTTCGGAAGGTCTGTATTCCAGGAATTTAAGACTCATCAGCTTTCTAATTTAAAACTGAAATCAACATTATGACTTAGGTACATACAAACTACCTACATTTTAAACAACAGCAGCCTGTCTGCTTTTATTTCAGAAGACTGTTCATCTTCACCAGTAAGAGGCTTCTTTAGCTGTGATATGTTAATTACAGAAAGAAAAACTGAATCCATGATAAGACAATGCAAGAAGAAAATGGGGTATGGGTTTTGAAGGTAAGGCTCCCTTCCTGGCAGATCTGAGGCAGCAAGTGATACCTATTTTCAACTTTCATTTGCACACCACTATCTGCAAGAAGAAGGGGCATGTTTCAGCTAAACATTCTCACCTAGACACAAAGCCCACGGATTCAGGGCAGGGATGTATGGGGGAGGAGAGGGTGTCATGTTTCAGGTGTGTGTCTGGTTTAACACTTCTAAGTTGCCTCTTCCCGTCCTAGTTTCAAGTATAGGATAGCACTGGAAACATCCCAGGTGAGTATGGTAAACAACATCGAGGCACTGAGTAGAAAAATAGTCCTCAGATGCTTTTCCTCCTGCTTCTCCCCGCTTATGTACATGAGCTCCTCAAATGCCTCACCTACAGTCACCCAGTAATCCCAGCACAAGAAGGATCAGGGAAAGGGGGTGGAGAAGGATATAGAAACCAGCACTGAGCAGAAACCAACAGCAAGTTCACAAGCATGGGACTCCTCCTTTCTGTGGTAATATTGGTTTTAAAATAAAACTGGTCAAACTACAACTTTAGTGCATTACAACAAGATAATCTAGAGTCATTCTCAACACAACCTGTCTTGCCTGTTTGGCATGCTTATTGGTTTTAAGCAGGATGATTGCATGTTAAGTTGATGAGGTTTATTGTTACTTGTCAGGTTTCTTATGTCAGTTGTGTACTTTCATTAATTTTTAATTTTACCCCGCCAATTTGAATGAACAAGCTAACTTGGACAGATCAATGTCTACACAGAGCAGAGACTTTTAAAATATATTTTAGTTATATCTTAGTTTTACTAGAAGTAATACCTTGAGTGAGAGGGAAAAGTTAAAAGTGTTTTCATAGACTTAGAAAACTTCAACAATGTAAATTTAAAAAAAAATCTAAAAGGACTATGCTTTGAACCTATACACAGCAGCAGCTAAATTCCTCCGAGACCAAGGTTAGGAATCTTGGGTGTTGTGATGGAGTAATTTGGGGATTTCAGGGAACAGAAAAGGATTTGAAATAACTTAATTTCCACAGTCAGAGATGCTCTCAACAGAATTTCCTCAGAAATGAGCTTTCCACTAGCACAGAAGCTTCAAGGTGTGCCAAAAGGGAATGAATACAGGTAGCAGGTGATCAGGAACTCAGATGGAATGTGGTCTTAAACAGTATTTGCCTTCTCATTAACTCTGCCAGCTACCTCTTAATTTCTTGCCTATTTCTATAATTCACACAGTTTCATGCCAAAATTTCCTGCTCTTTCACCTCAACTCTGAGGTAAAAGTAGAATTTATCATAGAACCTTTTTCCTTGTTCAGACTGCTTTTCTTAAGCTAAGGAAACCTCAGAAAAGAAGGTGGGCAACTTTTTGGGTCACTGTGTCCTGCATGCTTCTTGGATATTCAGGTCAGATATGCAACAAGAAGTGGCCAACAACTGCTTCTCAAAGGTCTGACTGTCCACAGCACAAACTGCACATCCAGAGAAAAGTGAGCTGCTTTTGCAAAGACAAAACTTTTCATCCTCTGTTTTAGGCTATCCTGCAGTCTTTCGAGTCTTAACAGATTGAACAAGATTTGGTGGAAGGTCAGTAGACTTTCCTTTTGTTTGTTTTATAAAATCACTTTTCCCATGCTTAGAAATTTCTCAAGTTTCTTACACATAGAGCAGAACAATCTGTCCAATTACCTGGCCTCTAAATAGTACCCAATATTGCACTATGCTCTGTTTCACTTAAAGGGACACTGTAAGGTAACACCAGCAATATTATTTGAAGTTCCATATATTCTTCTGATTTTGGAGGATGTATTCCTCCAAGATCTGACAGAACAGCAAAATTCCTAATCAAACCAAAGAAGGGGGGGGAAAAAAGGACTCTTCCTCTCTTGCTAGTTATCTTTTAAGCAAGGAGGAAGAAGCAGAATGGGAGGTAAGAGGGCATCTTTCTCAAGAGGACAATACTCAACATTATTAATAAAACCAACTATCAGTTTATAAATTATGGAACACAATGCTAATCACTTGGAATACACCAAAGACTAACCATGTTCTCTTCTCTGAAGCACAACTGGCAAATAGCATTTCTATGGCAAGAACGAATTGACAACAAGGAACCGACAGGTTCTGTCTTTAAGGTCTCATCAAACTCAGAATCATCAACATGGAAGGAGCTGTCAGCTCTGTCCTCTGTCCCTACTTACCCATCAGTCATACCCTAGACAAAATTTGTGTCTATCCTGGCATGCCTTGCCAAAGCCCTGCAAAACTATTTCGTTTTAATCCTTCTCCTCTCAGGCCACCTCTATGCCACAAAAACATGGAAGAGATGTTTCAACCACCTGACTACAGAAAGAAAATGAGCAAATATTTTGGCAATACTGCTGATCCAATTTAACATTTGTTTACACAGCAGTTTGCCTCAGGCATATGCCTGTATACTCAACATAAACAGGGATTCACTCATGCAATTCAAACCTCTCCCTGGTGCAACTTGCAGACTGCTGTGAAGTTTTTAATGACATTATTATTAATTATGGCCCCTTGCATATCAGACCAAATACTCTTTCAGCAATGTCGGGATCATGGTGTCTCTGCTTAGAAACATTCTGACAATCCTACAGCTGCTTTGCACACACTTCCAGCTTCTCAGTCTGCTTACCTATGTGTGTGACTCCATCTCCAAGGTCACAGTAACCAGATATTGCCTCCCTGTTTTATTGCTGACAGGCAGTTAAACTGTCCTTTTGCACTCTGATTCTTCTAAGATCAAAGTACTTAGGACTTTGACCTGGCCGTGGTTACCTGGGTGGTTCTACACACATCAGATCATGTTCTGATCCTTAACCCTTTCTTCAAGAGAAAGTGGGAAGTAGAGGAAGTCATAGATACAGGTAAAGAAATAGTGATGTATTTAAAGGAAATCTCATAATTGTGATTCAGCACGGCTCACATTCCAGAGAAGTAGTCACTATATAAAGTTCATGAGAATTATCATGCAAAAATTGTTGGGTTTAATGTTCAGCCTGCTGCTTAGTTGTAAAGTTCTTTATTGTTAAAAAAATTAAATATAATTTAGATTATTGTTTATCTATTACATCATATACGTCTATCAGGATTCTCTGAAAATCCAAACATTTATATTACTTCCACCTTCTGCTGGACTAAAGGGCAGATATATTTTAAGCAATAGCTGAAATCTAGCCTGATTTCATCTTTCACAAGGCCTTTTTGATCTATATTCACTGTACCTTTCCAGGTGGCCCTGGAATAAACATCTGAAGAACATTTCCTGATGCTGATATTGTAAATCTGCCAACACAGCTTTCAGCTGTGCTCCTAGTTTTTCATTGCATTTTCATTATTTTCCAAATCATCATTATATAGCTGGAAGTATTTTGTCACAGTTCTCTTCAAAAACTTAACTGCTTTCCAGTTTTTCCTTACCCTCCCCTCCTTCTGGCATCCAGCCACACTGCTTAAATACATTTACAGATCTTTACTTATACAGCCTACTCCATAAAATCATGTTGCTGCTCTAGCACACACACCAATTTTTGTTCATTCTTTTACACACCTTGAGTCTTCATCTGGCCATTTCACCTTCACCTTTGCTGCCATCCAAAGCACCATCATAAAAGCAGTCCACTCTGGTCCAAATATTTGACCTTCCTTGAGTTTGTCTTCATTTGATTTACAAGAATTTTCTCTTTGATGACAAGAGATGAAGACATTCCCTTAGCTACCATTCTAGGCCATTTGCACTAAATGTTTTACACAGTTTAATTTTGATTGACTGAGTTAACAATAAAGCTTGTGAGGTACGTGAGATGATAGAAGAA